GATACGTGTTTCTAAAGGTAAAAGGAAACCGCTGTATAACCTCAAAGTTACACCCTGTATATAATCAATGTTGAATTTCATCCGCAATATCTAGAAGACAGTTTAAAATTTGTAGAGTTCTCTTGTCTATAGAAAACACCCTAGAAATTTGATCAGTTTTCTACAAAATTAAAGGAATTATCAGAATCAAATTCAAAACTAATTATATCACAGGTAGAACTTTATTTTAAGTTTTATGCAATCTGTCAAAATAAATTTAAACCTCAAAATCAATAAGCTAGATAAAATCCTATTGATTTTCACGAGAATTGCTGATATAATGTTGATTATCTTTTTTTTTTAGTTACAGGTTTATTCTTCAGTAACAATACTACAATATTAAGGTAGAAATTTTGATTGAAATTCAGTTTTGCAGCAAGTGGTCGGAGGAAACATTTTTATTCTCCCAAAATTTGAGACAGTAGAATACCGTTGCTACAATAGTGATTGTCCATTTGAATTAAACTGTAATCCCAACCTTTTTGAACAATTTACTCTTTGATTTGTGTCAATATCACTGTTATAAATTGATATAGCAATTTAAACAAAATGGTAAAATCAGATTAGTCGTTTACAAGAAAATCGGGAGCTCATTTTTAGTGGTAAATTACTTTTGATGTGAACTGTATATTGATGTAAACCCGAGGGAGGCAGATCATAAAATAAAATAATATTTCCGAAATTTTCATTTAAGTAACAGAACACATGTTTATACTCACCAAATTCTGTGAGCTCATTGGCCAGGGGTGAGATGACGCTCACCCTCATTCGTCCAAAGTCATGTTTGTTGACTAACCCCTAGAAAATTGTTTATTTGCGATGCAATTCTTTTTTTTACATAGGCCCTTATGGCACAAATTAGTATAAATACATGCAAAATCTAATATTTGCCAGTTCAGTTTCTCAATTCCTCGAATTCAATTCCTGAATTCAGTCAGTTTAGTTTGAGTTTAGTATTTTTGAATCCATCACTCGCAGTGCGCTTTTTCACAAGCTCCTGGATGATTTACCACAGTATCAATTTTCAAAACTTTCAGCACTATTTTATTTTTTTATCAACCCTTTCAGATATACAATGCTATTTTTTTAAAACCTAACATAGGCCAACTTTTTTATTTGAAGTTATAGACTAGTACTTCCAAATGCAGAGTTGTAGGAAATAACTTGATTAGAGAAATTTACTAATAATTCTTTCCGGTGTTGCCAGATTTCTGCAGTAGCTACTAAAACAATATTTTTTTAAATGGCAACACCATATTTTTTTTAACATAATTTGACAAACCTTGAAATTCTAAATAAAAAATGTTATGTCACATTTCTTTATTGCAGTAGCCATTTTAGAATGATCAACAAAAACAACGAAATCTGCAGTTGCCAGGAACTAAAAGAAACTAACATAGCAATAGTAGGCCCTGGATATTAAACAAAAATTGTGTTGTTTGAAAGGAGCCATCATTATTGTGCTGTCATTGTGGTATTTGACAGCTGTTGTATTTGAATTTGTATAAAAATAACGGTTTAATTAAGTTGTTAAGATGATTTTCAGCCTTTTGCAGATCCTTGAGCACATACTATCAGTTGTTTTTAGTTTTACTAAGTTATTTTTTAAAAACTCAGGATTTAGAAGAGGCTTAAAAATTAATTCAACTTTCTCTTGTGGATTGATTGTGGAACTAATTCATCTTAGCAACTGAATTAAAACATTATTTTTTTATACACATTCAAATGCAACAGCTGTCAAATAACACAATGACAGTACAATAATGATGACTTCTTAAAGAAGTCATCAAATTAAACAATTTCCAAGACCTACTATAGCCATGTTAAGTTTTTTTAGTTCCTGCCGACTACAGATTATTTTCGTTGTTTTTGCTGATTGTTCTAAAATGGCTACTCCAATAAAGAAATGTGACATAATATTTTCTTTTTACAATTTGAAGGTTTGCCAAATTATGTTAAAGAAATACGGTGCCATTTAAAAAAATATCGTTTTAGTAGCTAATGCAGAAATCTGGCAACACCAGAAAGAATTATTTGTAAATTTTTTTTAATCAAGTTATTTCCTACAACTTTGCATTTGGAAGTACTAGTCTATCATTTAATTAAAAAAGTTGGCCTATGCCAGGTTTAAAAAAAATAGCACTGTATTTTACACAGATCACACATATTTTTGCAAAATATTTTTCGTGTATCGTTTTTTAAATTGTTCACTTATAGCCTAGTTCACTTTAGCATAGTTGTATATACATGGTGAATAATTAATAATTGTACATATGCTAACTGGATAATCCTGGGCTGAAAATATGAAATGACAACATAACGTTTAGATAAAATATGGCTCCTTACGGAGTTACAGTGTTTTATTTAAAAAATTTTAATGATTTTTGCTAGTGATGTAAAATAGCATGCTATTTAGTTTTGGGTGATGTATATCAAAATATATATAATTATATATATCAGATGAATTTTGTTAAAAAAAAACTATACTCAAATTAGTTTTTTTATATTGCTAATGCCTTGCTGATTAATTTGACACCAAATACATGTCATATATATGAACTTTAAGAAAAGTTATCAAGTGATCTTTTTTTTTTTTCATATTTAGATTGGAATTTTATATTTTTTTTATCATACTGACTTCTAATTTTTGTTGCGTGCTACTGACTGTTTATAAGCAAGTACGCTGTTTATTAGCAATTTAGTTTTATCAACCCAGAAATAAAAAATGGGAAATTTCTAGAACAAGAAAATTTAGTCTTTGTATATCACAATACGTACTTAAAAAAAATTAAAGATAAAAATTGAAATAAAAATTATCAAAAACTTATGATAATAAAGAAACTGCTTTAAAGTAGTACTTAAAAATCTGAAAATTTAGGGGTGTACTATAAATGGGGAGACCTAAGAGCGCACGTAATTTCAACTCACCCCTTCCACCCTAGGGGGTGGGGTGAAGGTTTTTTTTAGACGTACCCTATTTATTTTGCGATTTTCGGATTGTACGCGTAAAACTACCCCCAGAAACGCGTTCTTGGGGGTACGTCTAAAAGACCACCCCTCACCCCCTCTGCACCTACTAAGGTGGAAAGGGCCAGTTGAAATCAGGTTCGCTCTTAGGTCTCCCCACTTATAGTACACCCCTAAAATTTCAGATTTCTATATTTATTTTTGAAGGAGAAAAATGCTCATCGAAAAAACGACAAAATCCATACGAGGGTGGTGGTTTGGTTTTTGTGCGAATTCGGCAAGAACGCGCTTTCGGGGGTAGTTTTACGCATAGAATCCGAAACTCGCAAAATGAGTAGGGTACATCTAAAAAAACCACCCGTCACCCCCTAGGGTGGAAGGGGTGACTTGAAATTACGTGCGCTCTTAGTTCTTCCCATCTATAGTACACCCCTAAAATTTCAGATTTTTATATTCATTTTTGACGGAGATATTCCAGGTACCCAAGAGCTACTACAGTCCAACTCAAGCCTACCACACCACAAGTTTTTAGTTTTAAAATGTAAGGTTATGTTTGAAATTTGGCTTTATTCATGAAATGGCGGGAAAATTGATATATATCAGCTATTAACATAAATATAATAGCTGATATGTATCAAAAATTGATATATATCAATTTGTTATATATTTTCACTCACATCACTAATTTTTGCCCATTACTTTAACCCTGTTTGATATTTCCCTACCATAAAGTTTAGAGACTTTAGAACATAGTAAAAAATGCAACAAAATTGTTCAAGGCTACTACCGGAGGCGTACGACAGGGGTAGAGGGGCAGTTTCCCATACCTAACTTCTATGCCACTGGCGGAATTTTTATTTTGATACAATTTTCCAATTCTTCAATACTTTCTATGCAATTATCATACTATTCCTTCATAGCGGTAAAGTCATTATTTCTCGAGATTTTTAAAGGTAAACATAGGGCTGCACAATAATTTCTATTTTATTATGTAACTTATTTGTCATATTATTATTCAAGTCGGTGTCTTCTGCCATGGGATTGCATTGCATTAGTTGAATTATCAAACAGGGTTAAAGAGCTATATTTTATCTAAGCGTTATGTGTCAATCTTCATATTTTCATCCCAGTAATATCCAGTTAGCTTATGTACAATTATTAATGAATCACCCTGTATATTTATATTATACTCTATTGTCATTATTATTTATATTATGTATATTATTTATTATCTGTATTATTTATTCCTATTTACTCACTTATATTAAAATAGTATTTTTAGTCTTACCATGTAGTAATAATTTCCACCAGATTAGTAAGTTAGACGACCTAATTATCTAAAATAAAGTTCTTTTCAAAGCATATTTTTGATCAAAATTTTATAAGTATGCAAAAAGAAAAAAGTTGAAGACCTGAGAAACCAATCAAAAAATGAAAAAGTAAAATAAGCAATACAGTTTTCTTTTACACATTTTGATTTTCTTGTAGTTACTTTTCAACCAACATTGCACGGCTGGTACTGTCAACTAAAAAGCCCTAAATCTTAGCGCCACCAATATTAATGATTCCTTTAAATGAATCATTACGTTTACACTCGAAATGCGATCTTTGATTGGTTGAATAAAATCTCATGAAAAATTACACCGATCACCAGCCGGTGAAACACAATGTTGTGTTTTAATGTAATCTTCATCTTATTGTTTTAGTTTTACAAAAATTGAATTGCCATCGTGAAGGAAATAAAATTATTATTCCAAACAAAATTACCGGTCACATGGCTTGTAATCATTTATAAAGACTGTATATTTTTTTATTCCCGTAAACTTTAAACTTTTTTTATCTCTAATAATAGCGGGGCTGTTGTACATTATTCAACCGTTTTGTAAAAACATTTAATGTAAAAATCTACTGAATGAATAATATAAATTGGTTGGTGAAAATTATTTTTTTTTTTCAAGAAAAAGTTTTGCTTTAATGGGAAATAAAAGACAGTATCACATTCACATTTTATTTTCAAATCGTAGAATATAATCACAAATGTATAGTCCTATTCATTCTTTATTAGTAAAAATGCTACTTTCTATTTCCGAAACCTATGAATAAATAGATGGAATGTGCTATGATCTATCATATAAGGATCATAAATACTGCTCTTTATTTTTACCCTTTTGGTTATGTGGGAACTAATGATTACTTATTGTGATTACAGTTTTTCTTATTGGCACAACACGTTCGAAAATCGAACAATTTTAATGTTAAATTGTTATTATGTAATACATACTGTTCTTAAAATAAGTAATAGTGTATTTAGAAGTTATAAAATAAACTGGTGAAATAAAAACTATGTACATACTTTCCTGATATTTAAATGAACATTATAAAACACATGACATATACAAATGAATATTTAAAAACATGACTTAAAATAGAGATAGAAATAAAACATCTTACTTTCGTCTTTGCTTTAACAGCTCCCGTTTTTTTGTGTCGGCATTCCTTAACACCTCGGCATAAGAAAGGTCAAGCTTCTTAAGTTTATGTAAATCTTGTGAAGCAGAACTTGGCTTGAATTCATACTTTGTGCTGCCCTGACTCGGTGTAGGAGAAGCTACATTTCGATTTGACGACCAAAACTGCAAAGTATTACCATTCCATTGCGAATTATTCTCAACATCCGTTGATGTATTCTTTTGTTCGCGTCGTCTGCGGCCAGAATTGGGCCTACTGGAGTAGTTGATTTTAGGACTGCCGATAATATGAGTAATAGGGGAATCAGATCTGTCTACGTACTTATTTTTGCGTCTTGAGGAAGAACGCTTACGAACTTCCACAGATAAGTATTCTAGAGGTTGACGTACCAGTGGTTTAAGTACCCGTTCTTGCTTATTAACAGTCTCATTTTCCGGCTCAGGTTCTGGTTCAGGTATTGGTTGGTTTTGCGCTTGAATGATATTCTCTATAACGGTAGTCGGTTCATTTTGTGAAGTGGATAGTTCAGACATAGTAGACGATAACACGCTTTGAGTGTCATCATCAGGAAACTCAGGTGAGTGGTCGTTAGAGGGTGTTACTGGTGGAACCTTAGGAACCACTTTAACAGGAGTGAAATCATCTAATAGAGGCAATTCATCCCCTTCTTCCTTATTTTCGGCAGCTTTTTTAAGTACCTTGAAGATTTCTTTGAATACTACTCGATATTCGGGTCTGTCCCGGAATCGTGAATCTATGGGACTAGCATCATCGTAAATACTGAACTTGCAATCTTCTCCATCAGCAATTGTACAAAGGAAGGAGCCGATACGGCCTTCGGTTTGAGTAGACTTGTTGCTAGTTTCATCGGCAAATCCAGAAGAACTTGTTTCGGCTTCGGAGAAGTCTGTGGGTGTTGAAAATGTTTTCCGAGTTTTCTTGTGTTTCTCGGTTCTCAAACTGTCTCCGTGTCCACTTTCCTCATCCGTGTCTTTGGTGCTTAGGGTGTTGAAATCTCCAGACATTTGCATTTCCTCTTGTAGCGACAGACTGTTATCTTGCTTGTTGGAACGTATTGGCTTGCGATGGACTTCTACCAAGGCTTCATATTTTTCTACAAGCTCTTTGTAAGGATTTGCAGGCTGCTTATTTATAGGAGAGGATTGATTTTCAGAATGAGCCTAGGAAAAAGAAATATATGTCACTTTTTTAATTAATGGCAATGTAAAGTTGGATTAGTAGCTACATTTTGTTGAAAACCCCAATACTGTTATAATATACATATCAAAGATATAACGAAAATCATTTGAAAAAATATGTACAGGAGTGTGATGTCTTTTGTTTTGTGTAATTATTTATTTGTGGCACTTTTCTGATTATTTTTTTATTCAATTAGTTTGGCAAATTTATAAATCAATTCCTGGACTGATCCTTTTGGCACAAAGATTCATTTATTTAATATTCCTTTTTTTCAATGTGTCAGAAATACCCAATTAAATAATTTTTGTACTTAATTGCTATTAAAAGTGAAGTAAAAGTATATCAAAATTTAATGTAGTTATTATCAATTTTCTAAAATTGGTTATTTGTAACCCAATAAGTAAAAAATAAGTGAAATTAAAATATTTTTTATTAAATAGATGCTAAGGCACGTTTTTGGATCAATTGTTGAAAAATTTAATTATCATTTTTTTATATGTTAACTTCAAATACTGCAACATTAAATCAGAAAAAATTAAATGCATAGAAAATGAAAAAAAATAATTGAAATGGATTAAAATATAGCATGAAAATATTGTTTTATATTTATATATTAAATTTTAAAATGATCTTTATGGAAATTGATAATGGGACTTATTATTAAGATATATAGAACAACGACATGTTTCAGATAAAAAATATTATTAACAGTTATTTAAAAATTGAGACATAAAACATCATAGCAAGCCCCAGATTTTCAATATTGAGGAAGTTACAGTTTATAAATATGTACATTCTTAGTGTCTGTTTTTTAATATATACGAGAATATATGATTTATATTTATTTTGTTAATATACATGGATATACACTAAAAAATAATTTTTATTACAGTTAAAGTTTTGGTGAAAAAGTAAACATTGAGCAAAGAAGAAAATAAATATATTTTGCAATTAGGTCTATGGCAAACAATTATTATACCATTTTGGAGTTATTAAACAGTTCTAAAAAAAAAAGATATTTTGTTCTACCTAAAATCTACAGAACTACTTGTATAGTGCAGTGCAAAACTTACCTTTTAAGTTTACAAGATTGAAACATATTTTATTATACAGGGCTGGAAAATCCACATGGTCCATCTGCCTTTACATGAGAGCGACAAAGTAAAGTAAAGAAATCCGTGCGATAGACAAGGATGGCTACAATCAAGACATTTCATAATCTGAATAGTCACCGACCGTTTCGGGTTAGAAGTGGGAGTGACTATTCAGATTATGAAACGTCTTCAATGTAACCATCCTTGTCTATCGCACGGATTTCTATGACTTACTTTATCGCTCTCACATAACGACCGATTTACCATGGGGACTTTCCGAACCTGTATATAACAAAATGTATCCCACATACTGTAAAACATATAATTCTGAATACAAACTTCGGGAAGTAATATTACACTAGGTTTTCAACAAAATGTTTAATTGGAAATTTTAAATTGTTAATCTGCACAAGCAAAGATATCAAAAATGCAAGCAGAAATAAAAACAATGTGTAAACAAAAAATATAAATTTATTTAACAACAAATACAATAAGCAGTTTTACTTTAAGCTATCGTAGTTACATGCTAAAAGCACACCAAAAACTTATTTACTACAGTCTATGGGATTTATGAATGGCACTATTTACAACATTAATTTGAACTTTCCTCATAAAAAATCAAAAGATTTCACACCTAACGTTAGATAATAGTTTACGTAGGACCAAAAAAACAAGAATGGTTTTTGGTGGAAATTAAACATAGACCATAATAAATTGACAAAAAATATATATGTACCAATATTATAATTAAAAACTTTAATTCCCTCTTATAATTATGTATATTATAATTTTATATACACAATGTTTCTCGTTTATAACAGATGTATTCAATATTTACATAGTGCATTGTAAAACCAAATTTTTTTATTCACATAATATTAGTTTCTAGACATTAGTTTAAGTGTGAGTATCGATTTTATATCATATATACTTTGTATAGTAAAGTAATACAATCATTACTATTTACATTTTTTTAAGGTAGGTAAATAGTTTAAAATTAAATTGGATGCCTATTAAAATAATATGTGACATGTTACTTCATTAAACATTCTTATTTGTTGTTTTATTAATATTTCAGGGAAAAAATTTTTGTATATAGCATAACAAGAATTATTTAATAAAAAAAATAATTTGCCTCAGATATCCAGATAAAATAAATTTAATATTTTGTTGAACATTTTAACAATTTTTTTTGTGTAATAATTATAAATAAATATATTAAAATGTTTTTTTCTGAGTTTACAACTCACTTCAGTAAAACAATTTTTTGGCACTTAAACCTTGTGTGATACCATTAAATCTCACTATAATGTTGAAAAAATTTATTAGGGTGTAACTAATATACTTCACCAAACTTTAGTGGTGCATTCGACAAAAATTAATAAAAAAAAAATATGTTGGAAATGTTTTGTTTTCGAGATACAACATTGAAAATTAATATAACAGTTGAGGTAAATCATATAAATATTTTATTTCATTTGCGGATAACGATTACTTGAATTATTGTCATTAGGTACTTCCATAATAACTTATTGTTATATACATTTTGTAATTTTTATTTTGCCATTTATCTCGAAAACGGTGCATCATAGAGATGCAGCAAAAATATGTTTTTGTAAAACTTTTAATGTTTTATGATAGCAGTGAATTTGAAATATTTTTAAAGAAAAAAATTCCACAACTGTGGCATTTACATACTTTTATAGACAATCAGAAACTAAGGTTGCCTACCAAGTTTATATATAATTACTTGATCCAAAAATGTGATCCTTTTTATATCTAACACCTTGTATTTAAAAACCTGTTTCCAGGCACATGTTTATAGGAATTTAATTTGTGATGTAGAATTTATTATTAAAATTTAATCGAGTACTTTAGTTACACCCCGTGTAGATTTAGAATATTAAGTCAACTTTATACTCACACTTAAACTTGGTAATAAAAATGTAGTAAAAAATCAGAAAAATTAGAAAAATATTCCATTACATACCTTAGCAAATTAGTGTAACTTATGTCTGAGGCAGTAGTGGAGGAGGATTAAGGGGATCTTGAAGGGTTTAGAGAGTAACGGAATTAAATATACGTCTTTAACATACAGGCATAAGTCAACTAATACTGATACAATGTTTGCTGCAGGCGAGATCCATACAACGGACATCTCCCTTCGGAGAATATCCTCCAGGTGATTGTCCTGAGAAACAAACACAGCAGCTAAAACGTGCTTTGCACAATTTCCTGCTGACCGTGTTAGACTTATGAGTGTTTGTAGATTTGCAAGTAAAAATTCGATTATAACTCAAAAAATTTGAAATTATTGACAATATTTTAAATCATTTGAAACCAATTAAATGAGCAGCGGTTGTTTAGAAGTTAACTAAAAACATATAAAGCAGAGCACCCCTCACTACTACTATTTTTCTTACAAATAAAAGTGATGGTGAAAGAGTAGTATAATGAATATGAACTAAAAACTGAAAGAAAAGAGCCAGTGATATACCAAAAACTCATATTTACATGAATAGCACAAATATTAAACTTATCAGTAATTACATGTCAAGAGAGACTATTCTTTATTCATTTCTTAGTAACCTTTTAAACAAACCCTAATGTAGGAATTTTATACGAGAACTATTTTTTTATTCAAGGTCCGATCGATCTCGAAATTAAAACCACAGTGAAAATCTGATGAAGCTTTGCTATCGCGTCACATCGTACTTGTCTGTTCTAAGTGCACAGTAAGCACGTAAACATGCCTACAACAATAGAGTCTCCCACCAAGTGTGTATGTTGTAAGTTGATTTCTTCATGCTGAGGTCCAATGCAACCGAAATTCACAGATGAATGAGTAATGTGTACAGTGAAGCTTCCATGAATGACAACAATGTGCAGCAATAGTGCAGGAACTTTGAAGCAGGACATACATATGTTCATGATGCAAGTGGTCAGGGAAGGAAACTAATGGAAACCGACGATCTTGTTCAGCGAGTAGATCAGGAAATTCGAGAAAATCATTGTTTACAATTTCTGTGTTGATCGATTTGTTTCCCGAAATTTCAAAGTCAGCTCTCTATCATCATGAGTGAGAGACTTCAGTACCGCAAACTGTGTGCAAGATGGGTTCCCAAGATGCTGTCCGACCATCACAAAATGGGCGCCTCTTTAACATTTCATGGATCCATGATGATCAAAAATGAAGAAACAAAAGAACCATGGATGCATTCTCATTCCCCAAGTAAATCAAAGATGTGCAAGCGAACCTTCTCCATTAGAAAGTGAATGGGAATTTTGGGACCGAAAAAAAGTTCTCTCAGTGGAATTCACGGAACGTGGCACAACCATTACTGCAGTGCGACTCTTCAACATCTACGAAGGGCAATACAGAACAAGTGAAGAAGAATGTTGTCATCAGGCATTGTTTTTCATCAAGACAATGCTCAGCTGCACACTGCAGCTGCAACAAAGATGCTCTTGCAGCGTTTTCGATGGAAAGTGTTTGATTATCCACCATATAGCCTGGACTTACAAGGAGAAGGTAAGGTAGTCGGATTTTTGTAATTTTTTATATTTATGGTAAGTGTAGTTTGGACCTTGAATAAGAATTTTTCGAAGTAGTTCAACGCAACTTTCATAAATTACCGAGATAATCGATTTTGAAGTTTTACCTGACAGCTAAATCCACTAGATGTGACACATTCTTCAACTAGGAGCGTGGCCTAATTGGTAGCGTTCGGGACTGACAGTCACGAGATCGCTGGTTCAAGTTCGTCGTGTGACATTTTTTTTTTCAAAACGCACCATATGGTTTTTTATTATTTTTTTCATCTCAAAAATTATGAACAAACGAAATATTATAATAAATACTTATGTATATGTAGGAATATTCTTCAAATATTTCATTAAAATGCACAATTGGTTGATAAACAATATTTTGAATTAACAATAAGATTTCATTAAAAAAAAAACAAACGAGGTCAGGTAGGTTTTTTATTTTATTTTTAGTATTTGACATTTTACGCAGTGTGGCATAAGCCAGAATCATAGAAATATGAGAAGCGGAAAGTTTTTAAGCATCTAGAATGTCGTGTAAATGTTATGTTTTTACAGGCGCATTTTGTTTTCAAAATATCGACGTCTAAGCAAATTTTGTTAACATTTTGAAAGATTGTTCTTTCTCACACAGTTTCGATGCTTCTCTACCCTTTGTGGAATTTACCGAAACTTTTTATACCCCAGCAGGTGTGTTCTGTAAGCGGTTTTTTTAAACACCCACACAACCTAGCTCAAAATGTTAATTAAACACTTAAAGAATATTCCTACATACAGTTCTCATAATATTTCGTTTGTTCATAATTTTCGAGATCAGAAAAAGAAAAAGAAAAGAAGCTAGATGCTTAAAAAATTTCTGCTTCCCATTTTTTATGATAACTACTATTCTGGCTCGTGCCACACTGCGTAAAATGTCAAATACTAACATAAATATAAAATAAAAGAACAAACATCCTACCTGACCTCGTTTATTTTTTTTTTTTTGAAATCTTATTGTTAATTCATAATATTGTTTATCAACCAATTGTGCATTTTAATGAAATATTTGAAGAATATTCCTACATATACATAGTAGTAGTAGTAAAGGGGTGGCCTCAGCCTGGCAATTAGGTCACAAGTGGGCCCTTTTTGCCTACCCCGCCGTCCCATCACCTAACCATTCTCTGCCTCTGACCCTCCTCGAACCTACCCGACGCCCTAATGAACGCCAGGATTTTGGTCCATGGAAGGTCTCTCACCTCAACCCCTTGCAGCTCTTCAGCACCAAAGACTTTATGTCTTATTCTCCCAAAGGCTGCACACTGTCCCAGAAGGTGGACAGGGGTGTCCTCCCCTTCGCCACATTTCGGGCATAGAGGGTCCTCCTCAATTCCTATTAAGCTTAAATGCCTCCTAAGTCTGCAGTGGCCTGTCAGAACCCCCACCATTTGGCTTAGGGCTCTTCGACTGAGGCTCAGCAGCCATCTTGTCTTGGATTTGCTAGGTCCATGTATAAAACTATGGGCCTGCCTGCATCCTCTATTTCTCCTCCAATCCAGTCCTAAAGTCTGATAGGCCCACTTATTGAGGGCCCCAACATATACATAAGCATTTATTATATTTCGTTTGTTCATAATTTTCGAGATGAAAAAAATAATAAAAAACCATATGGTGTTTTGAAAAAAAAAAATTTCAGTCCCGAACGCTATCAATTAGGCCACGCTCCCAGTTGAAGAACGTGTCACATCTAATGGATTTAGCTGTCAGGTAAAACTTCAAAATCGATTATCTCGGTAATTTATGAACGTTGCGTAGAACTACTTCGAAAAATTCTTATTCAAGGTCCAAACTACACGTACCATAAATATCAAAAATTACAAAAATCTGACTACCTTACCTTCTCCTTATTAGTTCCCTCTGATTTTCATCTCTTTGACAGATTTTGGCATATACGAGCTGCTGAGCAGTGTAGAGAATTGGCTGAAAGCACAGGCAGCTGCCTTTTATGGCGAGGGTATTGGAAAGCTGGTACCACACTACGACAAATGTCTAAATCGGAGCGGCGACTATGTAGAGAAGTAGCTGGAAGGTGTAGCTAAATGTTGCAAATAAAATAGTTTTGATTTTCACTATGATTTTAATTTTGCAACCGATCCGACCTTGAAAAAAATAGTTTTTGTATTATTTTTAAGATATTCATATTTGAATATAAATATATCCTAACAATGACTAGTAAACTCCTAAACAAATCAAGAATATCCTAATCCATAGAGTAGGCCTTTGAAAATGGCAGGGAGCAATTTTAGTTGGAGGTGGTTCGTAATAAAACAAGGAATTAGTCAGTCTAAGCAAAAACATTTAATAGTTTTACTTGAATGTCATTTCACAGCCATTTTTAAGACTCGTTTAGATGATATAATTTTTTTTATATAGTATTACATTCGACAACCTGTATTGCAATTCCAATTAAATTTTTCTAATGAGCTTATTTCAATTCTACTTATAGTTAATAGAGACATGATATTTGATTTTAGTTGTTGCCTATATAGAAATACAATTTTCAGGTTTTATTTTTGTTGGAAATGAATTCTGTTATAACCAGTTTTAATAAAATATAATCATTTAAATGAGCCTTTACAAGAGCAGCAATTTTAATAAAAATTATATATAAAAAAATAATATAAAATTCTCATCGAAAAATAAAAAATGTATCGGGTGTTTTAACAAAACAAAAAAGAAATGTAATGGTTTGGAATTTACAAGAAATTCTATTAGAGAATTCCAATTTTTTTCTTTTAAAATGAATTTAACCATAATTCAATTACTTTAATTCATAACCTGATTATGAAAAACGACCTGATTATTTTATGTATCAAAATATACTGTAAACACTCAAAAGTCCAACAGTTTTCCCAAACCACAAACACCGTTGTTAAACAGATACATGCAGAGTTTACAAGCACCAAGCCCAAATCACAGAGGAGGCAAATTAAACGATCTTTGGAATAATTCAGAAGGACAGTGAAGAAACTCAAGCACTAATCCGGTAGTTTCGTTGCACGGGAATGTCAAAAATAGCACTGTGCAAAACTGAGAAAGCCCAGGTGCCTTACTAGCATATTTCTCCTATTGCTCACCTGAACGTCCATAGAGAACGATGAGCGATGTTCTGATGACGACATCAGTTCCTCAAGCATACTGGAATCGTCATCATCTGGAACTTCGCTACTGTTATTGTCTAAGCTGCGCAGGCATCGGCTGCACATTTGACCTTGCCTGAAAGAAAAAGAGAAATTTTATGAACAATGTGTACATATTTTTTCATTATCAGATGATATATAGAGCCTTTATAAATAATTGCAAGCCAGGTGACCACCGAGCTTAGACTACCTAGATTGCTCAGTTGATACTTTCAAATAAAAATCCCTAAATCTTAGCGTCACTAATAATAGTGATTCGTTTACAGTGAACAGTGAACAATGACAAACCATTACGTCTGTGCTCGAGATAATGCAATCACTGATTGGTTGAATAAAATCTGCTGAAAAATTACACCAATTGTCAGCCGGTAAAATAGAATGTTGTGTTTTAGTGTAATCTTGATCGTATCTGGTCACGTGGCTTGTAATAATTTATGAAGGCTCTGTATAAATAGGTGTTCTCTTCTTTTCACAAAATTTTAATGTTTCTTGAAGTTACAGAATTAAAATTTCAATAGATATCATTATGAAGAAAAATGTATTTTATAAAAAACACCTGATTGTATCTAACAGTTGAAAAACAAAATATTTAGCAAATATATGTGGTGCAACCCTTTTCATTTGAATGTCCATTTTGGAAGTTGTTATATTATTTGAAATATTCATTTGCGGTATTTTTTAATAAGATTTCCTTTTTTTGAGTATTTTTCCATACCGTGAAGTACGAATATTTATTTACCTAATTTTTATTGTGAAGTTTCAAAGATGGTAAAAATAATTTTGTTAAACAGTCTCTGAGCGATCCTTGTGTTATGTGGGTTTATTTACTATCTTTTTTTTAAATTGCGTGATTTATTTTGATCATTAGGACGCAACGACTTGAATGTAAAAAATATAAATGAGGTATTTAGGTATAATTTAATTAAAAACAAATAATTTTATTGTATAAAATATGATTTTGTTAAATGTCACTATTTAAATTACGAGCTAGGTTATTTTGCAAATTTTTAGCACCAAACCACTTATTTCTTATGGATTTTTCTGATTTGAAGCAACTTTCTGTGAATCACACAAATCTAAGATGGAAAAGTAAACGTGGTTTTATTTTAAAACCAGCACGGTAAATCTCAGGGTAATTTTTGAAAATTTTCCATATTCTATATTCAGACGCCATTATCTCAAAAACGGTTAAAGATAGGTATAGGTTATGTTACATAAAAAATGATCAGAATTCCATGGAGAATTAAATAAAAATACAGAAAAGTGGGGTTCCATTTAAAAAAGTTGGCCTTGATTTCATAACTTACATAAACATAAATGAAAATTGCTTCAGAAAATGCGCAACTAAAAATATAATTCGACGGGTCCGATCGATTTTTCAAATAACGAACATCAGATTTTTAAATAAATATATTCCATACTTTTGCCGCTCATGTATATTTCATTGCATTTAAATAAATTCTCTGTTGTTTTGTGAAGAAAGATACATTTAATAATTTGACAATATGTCGGCCTGTATCTTTTTTTCTACAATATACTAAGTGTCACAACATAAAGTTAACATTATTCACTCAACCTTTTAAATACATATACTTCAGTCCATAAATAAATGTTTAAAAATTACTGAATTTTGCTTTTTGGTAAATACCTACATTATTTTTAATAAGTATGATTATTTAGACGACGTGAATCTTTAGATACTTTAATTACATATTTTTCAAATTCATAATTTGATTAACAGTTAAGTTCCTGTTTTAAGAGAATCATAATTACTAAAATTCAAGCTAAAATTTAAGGACAACACTATCTTCCTACTACAAAATGGATACATTTTATTTTATTTATTTAAAAACTGGAAAACACAATTGTCTTAAAATTTACTAAATGTTTCACAAATACCTAGTTGTTTACATTTTTGTTATTCCAGGACAAGTCTGCCGCGTGCACGTATGGTCTGCATCAGCAGTGTAGCGTTAAGTGAAGCACTGTTGTCATATTGTGATGAAAATCCCCAGTATTAATACTCGCTGTATTTTGAAAACTGTTAATCTTGCGCCCCTGTAATATACAACTTTTTTTGTTCATTTATGATTACTCTATCTCATGCTGAAGTAATGGCAGTCAAACTTCTTACACCCTGTATATTTACGATTTATTTCTAGAAAATTGTTGTTTATTAAGTAATGCAACTTTGTCCCAATTTAATTATATTTCTAGCTCTCACAGTTTTTGAGATAACAATGTTACCGCATCCATTTTGAAACATACTTTACAAACTGGTTTCAACATATCTCCGATTTATTAAACTAAACATTCAACTTACTTGACTTCTTCCAAGGTGGTGAGCTCTTCATGCATGCTCTTCATATTCAGATCCTCTTCCTTATGAGACAAGTGCACCACCTGGTTCTCCAATGCTTGGTTCTGTTGTACCATGGTGGACAATTGTTCTTCTAGTTCTGCTATCCTTCTTTCATCGCGATTGCATTGCGCCCTGGTCTTGCTGAGTTGTGCAAGAAGTTGAGACATTTGTTCCATTCCGCTGTCGAGTTCCATCTCTTCCCCATTTTGGTTGTTTGGTTTCTGGGAGCCCGTCACATTATTTACCTGAGTGGGTGAGTCAGTCTTTTTAGGAAGTGCACTGTCGCATTTTTCCTGAAAAAATTTACGGTACACATGAGATGCGGTAAAAAACAAATTTTATGTAAAATATGAATGTGAAATTTTATAATCATGTGAACAAATAAAATTAATATAAAAGAGTTGGTCATCTGTAAATGTTATTTTTAAAAGAAAATAAAACAAAATTATGTCTGAGATATATGCGTTTTCTTTGTTGAAATGATGAATATTATTTTCTGGTTTCACTGCTACCTTAATAATACAAATACATAGTATAGCCAAGGATAATATAATGTCAGTGTGAGCACATAATCAGCAATGTAGGTATTATTAGCATAACAAGAAATATTAAACATCAATTAACTTAAAACAAGGTAGTTGTATACAGGGTGTCCGCAAATTTCACCGACAACGTTTGACTGCATATTCATGACAATAAATAAATACGATCTACGAAAAAAAAGTTAAATAAAAACCTTTTAGTTTTTGAGTTATAGGCCTTCAAAGAGAGGTAACCAGAGAAAACTATCACCCAGTATATCGATTTGACTAAAGCTTTATGAAATAATATGCAAATAAATGTACCAAATTTTAAAGCGATCGGCAAAAGGGTTATGAAGTTATTAATTAAATTAGTTTTATTTTTGACAACTTTGAAGGCTTGTAACTCAAAAACCAAAATTTTTTATTTAACTTTGTTTTCGTAGATCGTCTTTATTTATCGTCGTGAATGTGTAGTCAAATGTTGTCGGTGAAATTTGCGGACACCCTGTATATGTCCGTTAGCCCGTTAGTTAGTGCAAACATGGGGTATTAAGGTAATAAACCTATGTCAGTTAAAGTGAACCAACTTATAGCCCTGAACTTTTTTAGACCTGTTGTATTTTAACAAAATAACAAGACCAGTAAAGCGATGTATATTGAATTACACGAATCGATAGTAGATGTCCGTAGCAATCTGTCCGGTTATCAACACTTTTTGAATACAAACGTTTTTTAAATTTACTGCTAAATAGGAAGTCTGAACCAGAGTTATGTGCTGTGCCTAAAAGTCACATATGGTAATACGGCAGATTTTGCTTGCCAAAACTGGTTTTAGGTAAGAAATAATACTTCTTTATATTGCAGTTAAATCAACTAGTTAAGCTGTGTGTTGTAATCACTGTCGATAGTTTGTTTTTTCATTGTGTGATTGTAGATTTTAATTGATTAATGTTCTTAAATTATTATATTATTATTGTTATTTATGCCTCACTATGATCGAAAAAATTTTAGGTGTGGTACTTCTAAAACTAATAAAAACCATTTTTCACTACTGAAGATTTCCATAAACCCTTACAGTAGAATTGTGGAGTGATAAAAAAGCATTGTATTTGCAGCTTTAGTTTGTCGTTAAGTCATTAAGTCGTGCTTATCAAATGAGGAGTAATTTAATTGAATCAAAAAAAAGTTACGTAATCATATTTTGTATGCTACGGTGTAAAAATATTTCAAATATTTTAAATACGCTACCGTTACCTCTAGATTAAATGTTTAATGACGGAAAATTATACTCCCGAACTCTATTTCATTTTCATTAATTCTATCAATAATAATAAGTAAACACTAGGCAGTGATGCCCTTGATGAAGTGTAAAACATCTTCACAAGAATTTATAATTTGTATTATTAATATTATTTTTTTGAACTTTACCATAAAATAAAACAAAAATGATAGGCTGGACCTAGCACTTATTACACTCCAAACATTAAGTAAACACTTAAATGTGCCATTTTCACTTTTGATTTAACATAACATATTTTGTACGATTCTACATTCGAAAAAGGGTTTAAAACATACAATCAGGAATTACACCGACAATATCTGTGGAAAGACGTGACAGTGTATCTTTTACCACTGGATGATGTAATAATGGCATACATAAGTAATGATTTTAATCCCGAATAAATCGTTAAATTGTTTAACTTTTAAAGACTTTTAGGTTCAATGATTTTTACACATATGACTATGGGTCATGGAGTAAATATTAACTACTTTAAGAGCTACTTCAGTGTAAAATTAAAGTAGAGAGTTTATTACGCATAGACTCACCTCATCTGTATGCGTAGCTGAAGAATCAGGACTGGCAAGTCTTCTTTCCTCATCATACTGACGGTCAATAGATCTTAATGCAACGGCCCCCCTCGACGAAACGGTTGATACGTGGACATCGTTTCTCTGGGAACGTCTCCTAAGGACGTCTACTTGTAACCTAAGGTCGTCAATTGTACTTTGAAATTCCTCGCATTTTGTTTCCAAGGATTCGATGGTGGTGTTCAAACTCTTGACATGTTTCTTTTCCGCAGAGTTTTCAAGGACTAGTCTGTGGTTTGCGCGTTCCAAGTCTTGGATACTGACTTCTAGCTGTTCGTAGATCCTCAGTCGGGAGTCGTTTACTTCTCGAAGGGCGACTGTTTGTTTTGTGAGATACTGAAAAAATATAGAATTTTTCTTTCTAAATATGAAAAGCTCTATTTTCATAAGCACTATACTGCAAATCTACTCTCAAATTCGACGTTATATCTAACTCAACCAGTATATTCTGTAGTATTTATAATACCAAAAAAAAACAAGAAAAACAAAAATTTATGGTTTTTCTGAAAGTGATATTCATAATTTTCGACTTCGAAAGAGAGTATTTTGCGTAAGAGAGTATTTTTACTTATTATGTAAGACGTTCCATATAATTTTAGGAGCATAAAGTATACTTCATTCCAATGATAGATCGATCTTTTTTGTTCCGAAGTTACACATGAAATGTTGAAGAATAAATAAACATATTTAAATTTGTAAAATGTAAAATAAAAACTTCCTGCCTTGTTTCCTCTTAATTGCTGAGCGATTTGCTGAATACGCTCCAATAATTTCTCTTCTACTACTATTAAATCTCTTATGTATCCCCAAAAATAAAAATTTAGAGGATTACGTTCGGGTGATTTAGATGGTCATACAACAGGATCACCATTCTTGAATAATTTTTTTGACTAAGAAGTTTTTATTTGAGGGTGAGATACAATTCATATAGTTTGTTATGTTTTAATTGTTACTGCTTCTCAACGTATACTGGCACAAAGCATTGCTTGTATGTACGGGCAAAGAGCAGCCTACTAATCTGTAGATACTATGAAGGCATGAATAGTGTCGCACTAGGTGAAATAAAGTTTTTAACCAATGATATCGAAACAATCACCCTTTTCATTTAATTACATTGCTGGATGGGACTTTAGTCCGCAGAGTAGTTGTTTGCCACAATATGTCATTAGTTAAAAAAAATTTATTTGGTATACAAACTTAAATCTGTTTATTTTGTAAGTGAAGAAATAAAAATCGACTTACTCTTTTGTGTTTTTTAGCCTCAGAATTAAGCTCTTAAAGTTTCTACAAAACAATACAATATTTTGTTGGATATTCAGTAGCATTTACATATTTTCTTTTCTAGTTTGCTCTTGCTTACCGAAACTAAATACTTTACAACCGAAGTTGGCATTGACTAACAGTTAATTAACTTCAATTTAATTAAAACAAAATGTATTCTTCAGTATTGACTACAGATCGCTGTCAATACCTAGTTACTTTATGAACAGGAAATGTATGTAAACGAGTTACGCGTGAGAGTTTAAATATGACCTTATTACGTCATAATTATATGCAAATAATTACAAATGACACTGAAAATTACATAAAGATGGTTAATTTTTAAATAAAGCAATGATAATAAATTCTTACCTCGATTTCTTGTGCTTGATCCTCAATAATGTTTTGATGTTGCTTTAATGCAGTTTCTAATTCCTTATTCCGCTCCAGAAGAGTTTTTCCCAATTCGGCAGCAAGCTGGAGGTCTGAAAAACAAATATTACAATGAAATTCGGATAGAATATCCATTGAACTAGATATAAATGTCAATTAACAGTAGTACGTCTAATAAAATTATTTATATTTAAAAACAGGCACTATTCAATAAATTTAACAATACATCAGACAAACATATATAGGAGTTATAAAATTATAAATTATTGTATAATAGTATGAAAGAAGTGCCTACACGTCTAAGCAATCTTTTAAATGAAACTAAAGAAGTTGAAAATAAATCCAAAATGTTAGAAATTTACTTGTAAGTGTAAGAAGGCACCATTCTGCACAAAGGACAGTTTACGGTGTGCTTAAATGGTATAAAGAATAAGTCGTAGGAACTAAATGGCCTGTAAGGTATATTAAAAAATATTTTACTAATTGATAATCCATTATACAATTATGAATAATTGTGTATAAATTAATAACATCCACCAATACCCTCCTGTTAGTTAAAGTTAATATTTTATTCAGCACATAATCTACGGAAATTGTCATCATTCAATGTTTGCTTATACTTATAAGAAAAATATTTAAAAGATTCAAGTTGAACAATTTCAATGCGATTAATGTAAGTATTGTATTGAGTGTAATATAAAAAAAAATAGCTTTAGACAATCAGTAAAATCACGAATTGGTAAAAATAGTTAAAATCATCTTCATATCCTAAGAGACTGCAGTAGGTATATAAGGATAAGGCACTCTTATTTTATTAACATAAATTATAAACATTAGAAGTCCTAGATAAGATCTATGAGGTACTCCTGAGGCTATCATGGTGAAGTTTGACAGAAAATCCATTAACTTCAACACACTGTGATTTGACTTTATCCAGTTCAACCGAATGAACAAGCCTATTCAACAAAATTCCATGATCGATTTTCTCAATTAGAAAACATATTAACGTCTTAGCAATTCAATAAGGCAAAATGAATTGTTCGCGTATACGTGCAAAAGTGGTTGCACTGAAATCAAGAAGAAAGTTAATATATTCATAGAAGAAATTTAACGCCGATTTGAAAATTACTACACCGCCGTAGCAATGTCGAAAAAAACATCAGTATACGGTAATTGTTAATAGACCATAAGAAGGAAATGAATGGATATGTGAGAAGGTAACAAGAAACTTAATAATTCCTAACAACTCCATTGTAAAATTGCAAAAGCGGAAACACGGTTTGCGTTTATTTGTAGATATGGTTAAATTCAGTGCATTAAAAGAATTTTTTAATTCTGTTCGTCGGCGATGTTACATAAAACGATGTGATGTAAGAGTTTTATATGGTGAGGATATTTTCTTACCTATGCAAAAACTTGTTTCTAAATAACTTAGCTGCATTTGCTTTTTTTATTTAGATGTAGTACTATACACTTAATTTGTATGGCGTGCTAGCAAAACCAGAGTTAAATACTTGCAGTAGTGTACTATAATTAACGATTTAATTTTTAATTATTGTAAAATATAGAACAGACACGATTTTCATACATAAACAATCTAAAGTTCAATGTCACGGTAGCCAGCAAACCCACCACTTTCAAATTTTAATTGATCATTTCAGTAGCAATTCCCGCTCTATGAAAGTAATCAATTTAAATAATACCTACTGTTTCTTTCATATCCTTCCGCATGCATACACACCGTTCACTGAGTCAAATTTGCAAAATATTTGATTAGTTGTATTTATATATTTTTGATATGAGAAGATATGCTCTGTGCATATAAAAAACATCCCTACGTCTTTTTTATGCTATTATGTTGTTTTTATACGTAGTATTCACATTACATTATTTTATATCGTTTTTTTTTAACTTTAGCATTTAGATCCATCAGCGAGGCGGCATTTGCAAATAAAGTTTCCTATGTGTCGCATTTCGTCGCTGGGAATTGGCGCTAACTTCACACGGACATATAAATATGAGGCTTACACTGTACAGGGTGTTCAAGGTTGGACTCTGAAGATGATTTTCTATTAATATTTTCGAAACATATTCCCAACGTGTCATTCCCGATCCGCGAACGTTTACAAATTCGAAAATATTGTTGATGATGCGGTAAGGGGATTAGATCATCGGAGAACATCATAAAGAAGCTCTTGTAATAGGAATTGCAGAACATCCTAAAGCAATAGCGAAAAAATTTCCTGAAAGTTAAATGTTTCTTAACAAACCGTTTGGAGAAGTAATATAGCAAACTTTTTTACAAATCAATCCAGTTTCTACATCATTGATACCATTACTGAAACATTTTCAAAACCAGTTTTCAGTAAATACGGTTGGGAATCATAGGACCATTCTTTCTTCTCGGTAGACTAGCTGGCTGTTCCTGCCATATTTTTTAGAAATTCAGCTGCTTATTTTGCTCGAGGAAGTTCCTTTGTTATTAAGAAATCATATGTTGCTGATGCACCATTGTAGGTAGGTAGCCCAGTGTATTTCAGTATTTTAGCCTAGATATACAGGGTGATTAATTAACAATGGGAAAATCGAAAGCTGAAGATACTACACGTGAAATGGTGACCATTGGCGTAAGCATGCCTTATCCGAAAGTTGATAGTTTTGGAACTACAGGGTATTGAAAGTTAAAATTTTAAATCGTTTTTTTGAGATTATTCTGAAAATATGTAGGTTAGAAACTTGAAAATTTGTGAAACTGTATTTTTTTAAGCGACGAATAAGAGGCGTGTTGTAATTTCAGCGTTGCTCATAGAGGGCGCCACTTACGACCAATTTTACCGAAAATTTAGTTAATAACTTTTTACCCTGTATGTTGATTCAAAACCTGAAAGAGCAATCATTTTTCCATTAATTATGTATTCTTGTTTTTTTCGGTTTCTCGATTCGTTTTCGAGAAAAATCGATATAACGAACACTATGTTTTGATAATACGAGAAATTAAAAACGAAATTAACCAAGTGTTTCTTCGTGTTATTACAACAATTAACAATAAAACAAATAAAATACGTAGTTATGATTTAAAGTAATTGTTCGAAGAATCCACCGTTGACACTGATACACTTTACACGTTTTCCGAGAGATCTTCGAGTTTGAAACAACATATTGAGATTGCGTCTGACTTCGTTGGCAGCGATTTGTATTATTTGCCACAACTCTTCACGTGAGCCAATAGATTCTTTGAAAACTATATCTTTCATTCGAGACTAAAAAGAAAAATCAAGAGGATTGAAGTATGGACTTCTGGGTGGCCAAGCAAAAATGCTTACATGGCCAATCCAGCGATTTGGAAAAACTGCATCTAAATATGCACACACTGACCGAGAAAAATGCGGTGGAGCTCCGTCGTGCGTGAACCACATGTCTCTTCTTACATAAAGTGGAACTTCTTCAAGCTGTGGAAGCATTTTTACTTGGCCACCCAGAAGTCCGGACTTCGATCTTCTTAATTTTTCTATTTGGTCTCGAATGAAAGATATAGTTTACAAAGAATCTATTGGTTCGCGTGAAGAGTTGTGGCAAATAATATAAATCGCTGCCAACGAAGTCAGACGCAATCCCAATATGTTGTTTCAAACTCGAAGATCTCTCAGAAAACGTTGTGTAAACTGTCAGCGGTGGATTCTTCGAAGAATTACTTTAAATCATTATTACAAAGTTCATTTTTTTTATTGTTAATTGTTGTAATAACACGAAGAAACACTTGGTTTGTTTCGCTTTTAATTTCTCGTATTATCAAAACATAGTGTTCGTTAAATCGATTTTTCTCGAAAACGAATCGAGAAAGCGAAATGAAACAAGAATACATAATTAATGGAAAAATGATTGCTCTTTCATGTTTTGAATCAAGTTTCATGTTAGACATACAGGGTAAAAAGTTATTAACTAAATTTTCGGTAAAATTGGTCGTAAGTGGCGCCCTCTATGAGCAACGCTGAAATTACAACACGCATCTTATTCGTCGCTTAAAAAAATATAGTTTCACAAATTTTCAAGTTCCTAACCTACATATTTTCAGAATAATAGCAAAAAAACGATTTAAAATTTTAACTTTCAACACCCTGTAGTTCCGAAACTATCAACTTTCGGATAAGGCATGTTTGCGCCAATGGTCACCATTTCACGTGTAGTATCTTCAGCTTTCGATTTTCCCATTATTAATTAATCACCCTGTATTTAAATTAGGTTTATCCTAATAAATTATTTGGTAAATGAGAATCTCAATTACGGCCTCCTAAATCTCCCGATTTAAATAGTTTAGATTATTTCTTGTGGAGGCACATCAAATCATTGGTGTACACAACATCGACTGAAAGTGAGAAAGATTCCACTTGTAGATGGTTCGCAATACAGCTGTTATTTTTTAAAGAGGCATAATGACCGGTGGAGGTTATTTCCAATAATTTTTTATAATTTTGTGTTAATGCTTTTTTGATTGTTAAAAATAAAAAATAAAATTTTGCTACGAAATTTTGGAAAAAACAGCCACGCAAAAAAATATGACAGTATTTATCCCTTGGCCTCAGGGACATAGCCTTTCTTCCACCGTAATTAGATGAATAGAGATGGTTAGGATGGATGTGGGTCGAGGATGTAGTACTTTCACTACTACTGTGGTGCCTTATGATGACCTTGTCATACCTTCTCATTTCAAGTAAATGATCAAACATTATTATTGAGTTCTCAGAGGGCTCTGAACATAACAGAGAACTAGTGTGTGGGACAGGTGAATCTATCCAAAGTCGACCTAGTTCCCTTCACCAGAAACTGGAAAATAGTTGCCCTTAAGAAACCTACTATCTTCAATAAAACTATTTAGAAATTACGAACGATGTGGGGACTCAATCCTAAAGCCATGCAATCACTTATAGTTCACTTATGACCTATAGTCCGACGGGCTACCATTAGCCCGCGGTACAACAGCAAGATTGGAACAGATCTCTCGCGGAAGACTTAGAAGCTCTTTGGTCACTTTCGAAACTACATCTTGCTGTTGAAGGAGAGGCAAGAGGGGCTTCATATAGGTTTAAATAGTATA